CGTGTCTCTGTAACGATCAAATATTTTAAAAGATATATATCGTTTCGGGATATTATAACCCGTGTTCGTTTCTCAACTGATCACTTAGATTGTTTCAGGTGTTTCACATAGGTGTCAAGTCTCAATGGTCGGCTGAGAAAGCCCACGTGACAACTATTTTCATAACGTCCACGGTTCCTAAAAAATCCATTGAGTGATTGATAACAATGATCAATCAACGTATTATCAGTTAACCCTTTGAACAAAGGATGTTGTTTTTACATCGGCACTTCACGCCATGATATGAGTGTATTCCCTTTGTTTTAGTAAACCTAGACATGTAAACACTCACTTTTGACATATCCACTGTGCAAGATAACAGTGATTAATCAATCAACGTATTTTCTGTTAATCCTTTGATGACTACGAACGATCCGTTGATTTACAAGAAAAAGTAAATCAACTGATCATTCATCTCTTGCTGGGCTGCCACGTGCATATTACATAACACACTTTTCACCTCACTTTAAACCTGGATTTAGATTGAATAATTACCCCAGACACAATAAATGCCAAACGGGAACCTTTGTCAGGAAATCTAAGTGGTGCTACCACTAATTGTACCTGTAATAAATTCATTAACTGAGCATCAAGTGAAAGACGACAAATACACAAGTGTAGGGTTATACGAGAAAATGTGGATGACAACAAGGGAGTAGTAATCGTATTATCGACGCAATCCGAAATCCAAAAATGCTTTGACTGCATGGATACTTTTTTAAGTATTAAAGTATAACCATCTGGGGTATTTCCAAATGACGACATCCGATGAGCTCCGTTGTTCTTTTTGTCTGTTTGTTTAGGCTGAAGAAATTAATTAACATGCGCCCTTTGTCGAAATATTTATAGATCACAGTCAACCAATCAGTGTTTATGCAAAAATGCGTAAAACCAATATTGCCTCCAGCCTCCAGTTTATTTAGCTGTCCTTGCAGACGGTAGCCCAGTCTCTGGTCACGCTTAGTTGCGTTGCGTATCATCCGGGTACTCACGGGGAAAAAAACAATAACAAAGGCAACAACCAGTCCCGGGAATTGCGTTAGATCAGTGCCCCTTTAAGGCCCCATAGCCTCATGGTATCGCCAGGCCTCTCTCAGGATTGTGTTCTGCCTATGAAATAAGAGCTCTAGCCACAAGTCTTGCCTCATGGACTTCAGTTTCCTCAGAACAAGTGGTTTCAAGTTGTCAGTGAGAATCACAGAAAACTTTTACCAATGCGATATTCAGCCAAATCTTAAAGGGATTTTGCGTGGAGTGATCATCACCTACAGCTTCAGAAGGTGGGTACACATTTCTTCCTCTGATGATAGATCCAAGCATAGGGATAATCATAAACAGGATCCACGGGTACTTATACCTCTCTACCTGCGCCAAGATCTAATCTGGTGGACTCAATAAGATCATGTAATGACGGGGATTCCTCTCACCCTACCTGCTCCTGAACACCACCTGTTCACAGATGCGTCGGATTCAGGTTGGGGAGCTCACATGGACCACCTCGAAGTTCAGGGTTTATGGACCGAGACTGAAACAGCTCATCACATAAACTGCAGAGAGATGATAGCAATCTATGATGCTCTCCAGACTTGGAAAGATCGCCTCATCAAATTATCCGTACTGATTGCCACAGACAACAAGATGGTGGTGGCCTACATTCAGAAGCAAGGCTGAACCAAGTCCAGTTCGCTGACTACTCAGCTATTTGCATTGGCTGACTCATTCATCTGCCGGATGGATCGAGACATATTCCAGGCAAACTGAACATACTAGCGGACAGCCTATCCCTGAGAGGGAGGATTGTACCCACGGCGTAGGCTTTTCACCCAGACGTATTTACCTGGATAACCTCCATTTGGGACACCCCACATCTGGACCTCTTCGTGACCTGTCTCAACCATCAACTTCTGGTTTATGTAAGCTCGGATCCCCAGATAGATGCACTATCCATGGATTGGACAGGACTGTTCACCTACGCGTTCCCTCCATGGTCTCTCCTAGATCTCTCCTTGACAAGGTCATACATAAGTTGGAAGTGACCAATTGCACAGTCAGCCTCATCGCTCCAACTTGGCCAAGCAGGACTACTACCGTTCCTGATGGACAAGCCACTCACTCTTCCACTTCGCAAAGATCTCCTGCGTCAGCCCAAGTGGAACCTATTTTACTCCAATCTTCCAAGCCTCCATCTCGTCACCTTGAAAGTATCTTGCAGGGAATGCAGGCCTCCAGGTTCTCTCAAGCTGCCTCTACTGCTGTCGCAAGATCATGGAGATCGTCATCTACCCAACTTTATGACAACAGATGGAACAAATTTGTCCAGTGGAGACACAGGTGTGGTCTAACTAATGTCAGAGTGGACATTCCAATGGTTGCGAATTTTCTTCTACACCTATGACAGGATAATAACTTCCGACATGGAACCATTGAATGATATAGATCCGCCCTCCATTCCGTTCTCCAGCTCGATGGATTAATGACAGGAACACATCCGGTGCTTAACAGACTCATGCGAGCATTCAGCCTAGAGGATATTCGCATTCCCTGGATCTTCCAAAATTGGAATATATCAGTTGTCCTGTCTGCTCTACTAGCTGCTCCATACAAACCTCTTGGAAACACTACTCTTTTCCAAAAATCTCGTAAAGCAGCATTTTTACTAGCCATGGCTACTGCAGCCAGAGTTTCTGAACTCCAAGCTCTCAACTATTCCAGTCTCACTCACGCTCCCAACTGGACCTCCATCACCTTGCGGTCTGTTCCTGATTTTATAGCCCAAAATCAGTCCACGGCTACTGGTCCATTGGGTCATGGACATTATACTATTCCTGCCTTGGCACCTACAGTGGATCATCCTGATCGCCTCCTTTGTCCTATACAATCTCAAGTTCTATCTGACAGCCACTGATCCACATTGCCGACGTCTCTGACAGCTATTCCTCTCATGCAAAACCCACTTGGATAAAGATATCACTAAAGTTACGGTTGCTGTATTAGAACAGCTGATAAACAGATCTACCAGAAGTGACATCACAATCAGAAGGAATAAAGACCGGAAGGGACGTCATAAATGACGTCAGAGGTTCTAGAAATGACATCAAAACCAGTCATAAAAGAGGAATTTACCTCTTTTAGAACCAGTAGTGACGTCATAACCAGAAGTTATGTCATTCTTATAATCTGTGACAAATGATGAGTTAGAATAGAACTAAAGACATCATTTCATGATTATCAGCAAATAATAAGGTACTTCAAGTGAAGGTATCACCTGTTGACTGATATAATCATAATACCCTATTTCAAGTCCTCTAAAAGAGATTCTAGAGTAATTACCTCTTGAAAGGGTTTGAATCTGGAAATATACAAGAACTCATATTGGATTGCTGTCAACTACACAGGGAGTTACTAGAGGCAGATTCCGCCTTATCCCTCTGGTATATTCTGGCTATGATGTAATAGAGGTAAAGGATTCGCAGGAATTATCAAACAATAGTTATCATTGTTAATAATTCTAAGAATACTACCTTTATTACATCAGTAAATACTCCCACCCACCTCCCCCATTCTTTGGAAATAAGTGCCGTTTTTCCTGCCTTTTTGCACAGAAGAGCTGAAGAGCTACATGTGCTATTAGGGGAAAAACTAGTTGTGTGTACAGTCTGGAAGGTAATTTGAGGTACCAACGTTTACTACAATATCTGAAAAACTATCGGACCTACTCCAGTCAAAGTTGGTATGAGATTATTAAACAGTCATACATAACTGGATATTACATTTAAAGACAATCGGTGCATGAATAAAAAATCGGTCTCTTTAGCTATCACTATATTTCATCAACAACCAAACCTGTTCATCACGGTGGAACGAGCATTCATTGAAACAGCCATCTGCATAATTCTACCCCTGCGTCACAGGGCCATATGACACAGTTGAACCAATCAACTCAACTCAAAAGGGTGCACAGGAATCACGCACGTTGAGACGCCCAAAGCCAACACAGTATTCGTGCGTGCGTGATTCCTGTGCACCCTTTCGAGTTGAGTTGATTGGTTCAACAGCATTATGCAGATGGCTGTTACAATGAATGCTCGTTTCACCCGTGACGAACAGGTCTGGTTGTTGATGAAATATAGTGATAGCTAAAGAAACAGATTTTTTATTCATGCACCGATTGTCTTTAAATGTAATGTCCAGTTATATGTGACTGTTTAATAATCTCATACCAACTTTGACTGGAGTAGGTCAAATAGTTTTTCAGATATTGCAGTAAACATTGGTACCTTAAATTACCTTCCAGACAATAGTTGAGAGTGAAGAGGATTTCTGTTGAAAATCTGAAGATTAAGAAATAGCGTGTCTGCAGCCAAAATACAGGATTTATGGCTATGATGTAATACAGGTAGTATTGTTTTTATTATTAAAAATGATAACTATTGTTTGATGATCAAATATGAAAAATTATAAAATTATTAAGAAAATATCGGACTGCATGCTGCTCAACGTGAAGTGCCACAAGTCAACAATGGCCGTTTCTGGTAATTGTGTGCCGATAAATGTGGTCGATACTTTCTTAACTCGTGATGTTTTATTTTTATGTAAATAAACTACTGAAAGTTTTGATAATGAGCAAGCTGAGCATTTATGCATGCATACGTAACTTAAAATATACGCAAAGCCAACTCATTAAACTGTTATAGCAAGTTTCATTTTGGGGTGTCCTTCGACTATGCGCCTGTCGAATGGGTTTGACAGTAGCATTGAGAGCATTAATCATGCTGGAATTGGCAGAGAAATATCATTCCACATTAAAAGTAATTATGTTATCTTCTGAAACAACTGTTTGAGCTTTTACTCATTCACACACTACACCAATTTTGTTATAAATCCTTTGATTTCTCTAATTTCTTGGTGAGAGATACATTATAAACAAGCCATGTTAACAAGCCTTATTGTATCTACTTCAGGATGCGGTGGGCGCTACACAGGCTCTTCTGGCTCCATCTCCTCCCCTAACTACCCTGGCAATTACGGCAACAAGCTGTTCTGTACCTACATCATTGATGCAGGAGAGACATTGGTCACTCTCGTGTTTAAAGTTTTCATAACAGAGTCATCGAAAGTGATGTTGTCAAGGTATGTATAGATGTTGTTTTGTGAGGATGTATACTTGGTGATTATGGAATGATTTTGTTTTGTTTGTTGTTTTACGCCGCACTGATCAATATTCCAGCTATATGACGGCGGTCTCTAAATAATCGAGTCTGGACCAGAAAATCCAGTGATTGATATCATCAGCATCGTTCACCGGAATTGGGATCAATGACATGCTTCAACCAAGTCAGCGAGCCTGACCACCCTATCCCGTTAGCCTCCTCTTACGACAAGCAGAGTGGCCATTATGGAATAAAGCGTGCAAGAAGATGTGCAAGATTAATGAATGTCTTAAAAAATACCTTTACAGACAGAAAATATGAGGTCACACTGGTATGATACTGATAGGACTGAGCCCATTCTGTGATCATCAATAAGATTTTTGAAAGGCTTACAGTGTATGATTACACAAACAAATGGCATCATGTTTGTCAATGTTGAAAAATTGAGATACAGAATGTTACCTATTCTACCTTAGGCATGTACTGTAAAGCATTGATTCCATAGCACTCGCATGGATTTCACCAAGAGAAAATATGAAGTTTTTAGTGTAACAGAAACACATAATGGTTGATTTATATGTCTCTGTAATCTTCAGCTAAGTGTTTGTGATGTGAGAGAATGTTAACAGAAAATATATTCAATTCAAGCAGTGATTAGCTATTTCCTGTAATAACCTCTGGTGATGTGATCATGAACACCTGAGTATCGATATATTAACCTACATGTATTGTGATGTCATCGGTGCAACACAAAACATCCTTGGTATTCTGAAAAAATATATATTTGTTTGCCGCTTTCTTCCAAAACGTCTGATTTAGATTGAATTAATACATGGGCCTGAGTGACAACAGTACTACATTGTGTAATTTATCAAAATTAAAAGAACTAATTCATGTGTATTTTTGTAAAAATATTTTTTGATGTTTTTAAACTTTTTTTATTAAAGTCTCAAAATAGTCTTGACCTATTGTAGCAATGTACGGTACTGTGACTTGAAGAGAGACAATTTTATTTTATCAGTGGTGATAAAGATACATATAAAACATATCTGACTTATCATTGCCAGATCCCTGAATACCTATGATCAGGGTGATCCTCTATCAGCAACATCATTGCATTGATTACTTCCATTCATAGACATCCCAATCCATGGCCATCCAGATCAATGTTTGGTCACTGACACATGCACATCGTGGAACTTGGTGTGGAGTGAGACACAAATCCTTCAGACATAAAGTGTCTCAGAGTTACATTTAACTTTTTTATTTGTTTCTTTTACAAAATAGTCCAACAGTATTTCTATATCCTCACCTACTATGCTTTTCATATCTGATATTGGAACTGCACATGTGGTATTGCGAGAAAAAATACTGCCTATTTTCGAAACGACATACTGATGTATCAAATGGATTTGTATGCTTATGTATAACGTAACACATTCAATGCGAAAATAACTTGTTGTAATGACAAAAATTGTTTTTCTTCTATGACATCAAAGACAGATTGGTATTTAAGTGCTCAAACATAAAGGGACACAACTCTACTATGCTTAGAACAAGGCCATTGTAACTCTTAAACATTGTGAAAATTTGCTTAAGATCACAAGAATATGTTTTTGTATTGTTTTGTTCATGAGTAATGAAACTGTTCCAACACAAATATCGATATTGAAATCATGTACATTAGCTATCATCACAAATCATAAGAGATGGTGATATCATACTACATAGAAAGATGAGGAATAATGAAATGGATGGCTCTTGATGACATTGTTCTTAGATACTCACGTTCACCTGATTGTTTAAATGTAATTTGACTCATGTTACCCAATTACTACCTTAGTATGAGTTTTATCATCAAATGTAATTCAAACCTTTTGTTTGACATCATGGTGTGTCTTTCAAAACTTCAGAGAAAGACAACATTTCTATATTAATTGGTATATATTTCAATAAAGTTTCACAGTATAAAAAAACAATGTTGGAACCAGAATTTGATGCTTTTATCATGGTATCCAAATCATGACAACCTTTGTCCAATATAACACTTATTTTAAAAGATGGGATACAGTGGAATCTGTCTAAACCGAACTTGCCTGGGACCGGGATGTAACTCCGGTTTAGACAGAAGTCAAGATTAGACAGAAAACTGATTCTAACAAAGAGTCATGTTCCTTGGTTTCTCGCTTGAAATGAAGATCGAAAACGTGTGTACATGTACAATAATACCGAAATGCTTTACCCAGAAGAAAGACCGACACCACAGTATAAACAACATACACTTACTGGGTACAACTGATATATTAATTTTAACATCATGCTTGCTGGCGATGCTTTGAATCTAAGCTACAGGGGCTAAGGCCACATGTGTTATCAATTCATTTGAAGACAAATTGCTAATCCAATATAATATCTTCGAGAATATCTGCAGTGAAAGAGGAATATGTCAATGAATGAGGCGATGATCATGACACTACTATCATACAGTTTATGTACAAAACATTACGAAATGTCAGAATTTTTCATGAACTACTTGAGAACCTGATAGATTTCTTTCATCTGTTGAGGCCCTACCTTAGCATAATCGCACCCATGTTAATATTGTTATACATTTAGCTACTACATCGGGAACACGTGTTAGAATATGACCTCAGGACTCTTGCTGGTCATACATGGCAACTAGACTGGATCGGTGGGTCAGACACAGTGACTTTGTTGAATGCGTGCAGTCGTACCCTGACAACGTGGGACTCTGCTCATGATATCAGTCACTCGATCACATACAGATTTACAGAATAGCAGAATACTGCTGATTGCAGGGTAGGCATTCAAGCCAACAGATAAACATATGGATTTAACATGCTAAACTAATTAAGTGATCTGTCACAGCACTTCAGAATTAACTGACCATGTTCCATTTGTGCATGCCTTATTTCTTTATGTAAGAGCTTCTTGAGAGAAAAAAACCTGGTGGGAAGAAAAGTCTGCTTAAGCAAGATTTTGTGTGAAACTGAAATGTATGATATATTCTTTTTAGTGCAGTTTTGAAACTGTCTCTCAAATGCACATTATGTTTTCCGGTCCAGTCCACACGTGAAAGAACTTAAATTTAGGTAATAGTCGCATTATTAATATTTCCGGTCCAGAGACTGTCAGAGACTGAAGCAAAATATAGTACATTGGTATTGTAGACTACTCAACACCCTTGGTCATGTACCTTGTCTGAGCTTGTAGTTCTTCCTGTTCAAGGCAACGGTGATCAACACATTTAATGCGGTAAACAAAATCAAACCAAATTCCTTAATGACAGAAGTAAGATATTCAGCGCACAATATAAAATCCAGGTAAAGTAACAAGGTTATGATAAACCATTAGAATAATACAGCTACATTAGCACAATGTTAATTTGACTCCTGATTGAAATAAAACCAGACAGTTAGTCAAAGTGATATACTGAAGATTTACACGGTGTGCACGCTGGTTTTTATGTTTAATCCTCCAAATAATCAAATACTTTTGAAGTCAATTCTTCAAAATAAACAAGTCCACAATCATTACTTCACAGGCTGTTTTTTTAATCATAAACATAAAAAGCTGTTGACAAAGAGACGAAATCAGTGACTTCAATCAGCCCAATAATGCAACAGAAACTCTGCCCACTCAATTATCAGCCACTCAGGAAACAGTAGTCTGCTAGTGGTGAGGGCCTAATTTAATTTAACTTAGTGGAAACAGACTCAACAAGAAAATTGCTTGGTTAGTCAATCAAATGCCACCAGAATTCATGTTCAAGATCATAAGATTGTTCAATCTACACTGGCAAAGTCGGTAATGAACTGCTGTATGTATGCCGTTTTGTAGACTGAAGCCGCGTTCGGGTGATACACTGCTGACAGGTATCATCATGGCTACAGCTGCCAAAACAGCAACATCTGGATAAACATCCTCGTAATCAGCCATGATAGCTTGACAATTCTGTTGAAGTGTGTGTACCAAGTCCCTCAACTGTATTTTTGTAGCTGGCGAAATCCTGTGTGTGACATGTGTGACGTCATTATTTATTGGACCAATCAAAGGGCTGCCGCCCCACTGTGTACTGTAAATTTACCCAGAAATATTTGTTGATTTACCGTTTAAATTGTATTTTTTGTTCAGCTAGGCATCGTTTTATATCCAGGGATTAAGATTACCTTGTGCATTTTCTCGTAAACTAAGCCGGACACAGCGATCAGCTGTACACACGTTTTCTTGGAATATACCGGTGATTCGGTCAAGACACACCCAATGATATAACTTTACAGGATTTTAAATGCAAGGATCGGCAAAAGTTGTATCTGAAACTATATTTTTTATCAGGAATAATACATTCCAATATCTTGTTAATTTAGATGGAGCTTTTACTAAACATTTTTAAAATAATAATAACTCTAAGCGAAGAAGCTGATCGCTATTGCCGGGTATTATTTTTTACATGGAACCAGTCTGACCAGTCACCGTCAAGGCTCGCGTGCACGTGATCGCGAGAATTACGTGTTGACAGAGAATCGTCCAACAGAAATAAATATGACTTTTAATGAATAAAAGTATGGCATTTATGATATATGTATCCATTCTCTGTCAAGTTAAGTTCGTTTCAGGGCGTCAATAGCGGTAATCTGACCGTGGTTGCTGTTAATAACGGTGAGTTGTGCGATCTTCTGATCGCTTCACACACGATTTCGCCAAAATCAATTAAAACAATATTAAAAGGAATTTTGAATAAAATTAATGAAATAAGTTACAAACAAAACTTCAGATATACAAAGAACATTTTTTATTGCCAGACAGTGTAATTACATGAATAATTTGCGAACTTCAGTATGGATTTGTTGACATTGTATTTCTGGTGTAACGTGCTCACAGTAATGTCTTTCCATGGGGGAAAAAACATCAAAACTCATTAATTCATGTATAATGCGCACCCCCTTCTACACAGCTGTG